CTGAGCGGACTTAAACACTGTTCTATAAGGCTGCATCAAAAACTAGTAGAAGGCGCAAATGGCTCACGTCTTTTCTTTCTCAGTCGTGTACGACGAGTGTTTATAGGTGTTTGGATAGCTTTGTAACTGAATATAGTCGAACACCCAACAATTTGGTCCAATTCCAGCTGTTTACCAAACACTGTTCCCATGGGCATGGACCTCTACGTACCCTCGAATGCCATAAATACTTCAGCTTTTTCATTGCATGCTTTTGGCCAAGTTTTCCTTCCTCGAATACATACAGCATTAACAAAATATAATTAAAGAAAACTAAAGCGTGCTGCAAGTCATTCTCATAAAATACAGTATACATGCACGATTCGGTACCTTGTGTCTTTAATTCTAGTTTATGGGAGGCAAGCGCTGTAAAAATATTTTGCTTGTCTTGTGTTTCTGTAAATTGCATATATTCCCCACAAAACGACGTATGGACTTTGTAAGCAGATGTTAAGAACTCTTTCGAGTGTTTTTTATTTTTAGGCGCCTCTGAGGTTAGTTCCAATTTTAAATAGTAAGGCTAAATTATTTTCTTCTTTTCCATAGACAAAAGGATAATCCACGGCGCATTATTTAATAATTAGCGTGAAAACGAATTCTTTTAGCAATTGCGCAAAAATAAAGACGTATGCTACTGTGTGCTTACTTTAACAAAGAAGAAACCTTTTAGTTGCTTTTAGATCACTATACAGCGACCTTTATTCTCAAGCATTTTCGTGAACAATGACCACAGTCAAAAGGTTTCATCTATTCTTGACGAATTCGGAGTTGGTCTAAAGATCGTGACTTATTCGAAGAATTCCAGTTTTGCAGCGGACTCACGGAACGATAAACGAATTGGAGACGAGACAAAAATGGTGAAAGAAAGAATTTTACAACATCGTTATAATCTTCTTTATAAAGCAAATGCACCCCCAATTAGGGAATTATAACGCTAGAAATTTCTTTGTTATTGTTCCTTCACTCTGTGGCTAATGGGTCAAATTGGTCAAAAGAGCTCATAAGCGTCATCTAACTGAATACATTCACAGGGTAAGCAGCCTTTCCGCGCATGTGATTTAGTCTTATGACTAGTGTTTGCCCGTTTATTCGATCATAAAAACAAACTAAAGTGTTACCTTCACTGGGCTGGGTAGATCTTTAGTCAATGCTGGTCTGGCTAGTAGGTAATCCTCACAAACGATAGTTGTCTTGAAGTCATTCTGAAGAAAAGCAATAAGTTGGTTTCAGCCGTTTAACTAGTAGTAACTTCTATGGAATGATGTAGTTTGGAGATCTAAGGCCTTTTCCGAATTAAACAAATGCAGAAAGGCCATGCATGGTCAAGAAGCCGATATCCAGAAAAAATAATATCTTTCTTATTGAGTTACCAAAGTGTATCAAGTAGTAATTAAATAAACTTTTTGAAGGGACAATGTGATCTGTACCGTCGATCTCTAAACGGTAAATATGATAAAAGTTTCACCTTCGTCTATGCCGGCAGCTTGGTTCGTTGGGAATTATATTTTAATTGTTTTTACTTATCTCCGGCAAGGAATCTATTTGCTCCCACTAAAGTGGACAGTCCTTAAAAGACAGCAACTGTCAAATGATAAATATTGTGTTCAATAACCCTCGACCTCAAGAAGTAGCTATCGATTGGCTGTTAAAACACATATCATCTGGTCATAGTCGATTCAGATTTCCCCCCCTTTTTGACATGAATACCGCAGTTGCTTCTTCGCCACACACGATCGAAGCTACGCATCGTAAGTAGTCCGCCGTAAACTGTTTCCAGAGGTTGTTAAGATCGATCTGAATTGATTTTAACGTTAAAGCTGTGATTTCTAATGTTTTCTCCATCTTATTTCGCGGATTTTTTTTTCATGATCCCAACTTTATATGATGAAAATTTAAAAGCATTAACAAAAGAAAGCTCAAGGCAGAATCTCCTTACGGCCGCGGGAGATGTCGGAAGTCTGACTTACTTATTTTGCGTTAAGAATTCTCTAGTAGCTAGTCCGCGTACAGAGTTGTTAAAAGAATTGAGTTACCGGCTATGGGCAGTTATGGGCGTTTTAGTAACTGACTTTCCACTACGTAAGCGGCAGAGATCCTATATTGCAACCAGAATATTCATTTAATCGATATGACCGAGTCATCGATTCGCTCAATCCCATCGATGTCAAATGAAAACTCACCGATTGGAGTTTCTACTTTAATTACCAGCCAGCTAGTTCAAAAATGTGTCCTGAATGAAGTAATTCGAAATGTGCTGTTAAAAGTTATTAAAACAAATTACTGCTCGATGAGTTGCTGTTGGAACGCCAAAGTGCTTAAGACGCAGTCTCTGATTAAGGGATGAAACATAGATGTAGATGTATAAACGCAAACAGCAGAATTTGATGAACGGAAAAGCACATGCAGCCCAAAACACTTCAGAACTTCAGAACAGAAAATAACTAGCTAAAATTATGATTCTGGGGCAAGTGAAATATTACAACATCTCCAACAAAGCTTACCAGTGCTGAACTTTCTTAACTCTGACTTCCAAATCTTCAAATATTACTGCAATGTTTACCACAACCGGTTATGGTGCGTTTTAGTCAGTCGCTGGATTATCTTTTGCACAATTGACACGTCCATTTTTAGCAGCTAAATGCAAACGTGGATTACCATAATAATTACCTAGTTGACAACGCCTGTCCGTGATATTGTACCTCGGGTTACCTTTAGAGAAAGCAACCTCAACTATCAGTTTTCTCTCTTTGGTAAGTAAATAAAACTTCATATTTTGTTCTTACTGCTGATTGTTAACACGTGTAGAGGAGACCGGTAAACTTATTGCATGCCAAGCATATAAAATTTACATTCTAAATGGATTATATATTAAATCTCTTATCTACGTAAACGATAAATTCTCTCACTTTGACTCTTGCTAAATTTTATACATAACTGCTTACTTCAATACCGTTTAACTCCTGAAAAAGTTTAGTTTGTCTGTTTGATCACTTCCACTCTGATCCACTTAAACTTCAATGAAAATTCTCAAAACGGCAAGTCAGTGCAATCCTTCGAAAGAGCCGATGAAACAAGAACTTCTTGAGAAAAGCTTATACCTCCTTATGAATTCAGAGTTAATTTATTGTTAATCCATTTTTGTAAAACCTGTGATTAAAAACAATGTAAATAGCATCTCCTTTTAACCAAGCAAAAGAAAAAAAACGGAAGAAGAATCTAAATTGCAGATCAAAATCGCACGACACTCATAAAGTCTTTTGAATATATAGACCGGTCTCAGCCTAAAAAGAATAGCTGAGTCGATCGAAAGCGATAGAGAACTCTGTAAAACTTTGTTACGTGCATTACTGAAAGACAAACGCTTATTTTCATACTACACTTAAACACAACCCACTAACAATAAAAATAAATGGTGACATGGCTGCACTAATTGCTGATCCGACAATTACTATTGTCGCCGTTTTCTGTGATGTTTTTTTTACGGAAAATGAATACTTTTTTGCCATTACTCTTATTCAAAGCAGTCTATTCAGTTTGTCACGCGAAGCGAGACAAATTTATTAACTATTTAATTGCTTCGCAAGGAAAAAGAAAAAAGATAAAATCCATTTTTCCCTATTTTAACCAGGGAGAATATAGCGAGTACAGGAAATAAAAAAATTCACTGAGTTTCTTTGAATTTCGTTTATCTCTTGATATGTAACGCTTCTTTTTAGATCTCGGTTAATTTTGATATTTATCTCGCATTTATGTGCGTGATGGATCATTATTTTGTTTTTTTTGTTCCTGTTTGTCTATTTTTCAGTCTTTTTTGTTTTCAGTTTGCTTCGTCGTTTTGCTTACTGTTCCAAGAATCAGTACAAATTTTTCGGCGACCGAAAATGCATAAGCTATTTCATTGCCATAGAAACTGAAATTCTGATAAAATTTCTATTCATCCAGGATCACTGAGTTATTTTTATAATGGTTCTCAATTAGATCACTTGAGAGTCTTAGCGTCTAATGTGGTTTGCGTTAAGATGCCGAGGCACAGATTTTAAAAGTTGGTTTCGCCCTCTAGTGACATGGGTTTAAATTTAAGAAGAAAACCCTCCCAAGATGTGCGAAACTTGACTCGCGCAGATAAATTCCAAATTGACAAGACGGGTGGCAACTCGTCGCCGCGCAATGCCGTCGGAAGTGGAAATTTCTTATTCTCTTCTTCTTCTTCTTCTCCCTCCTTTATAGAATTCTCCGAGCGGTGACTCAACACTGTGATACGGGATAAAACAGGACTTGGGTCCAATTGATCTTGATCTACCCACTCATTTCCCACAAGGCCATGAAATGTTGTACCACACCACCGGGGTCCTACGCCCTCTACTCTTTACGAACAGGACTGAGTGTGGGTTCTTTTCGTCCCTCAAGAACCTGAACAGTGAAAGAGCTGTGAGACGGCGCCTATGATTTTTCTTCCTTATCCGAGATGACTAAAATTTCTAACTGTCTTACCATTTGTTGTAGATGTTACAACAAAGGCAGCACATTCTCCTCAGTTATCGGGTCCGGCCGTGAATTGAACCGACAATTTGCTCATCTGCTCCAGCCAAAAAGAAAAAACGTTGTAAAGCACAGCTAAAGCAATTTTTACTAAGCTAATTTAATTCCTGGCCTGGTCATGTAAGAATATAGTTAGCATGCAAGCTACTATAATTTTATTAAGATAAAGGACCATTAAGATAGTACTACATTATGTCGAAAATTTCGGATACAAGAAATGACGAAACGAGTTATAGCTACAAAGAAATCTGAAGGACATATGCCAGCAGCACTGGTGATATAATTTTTCACAATAATGTATTGTTTACGATTTGAATAGTACTGGAAATGAAATATAAATTGAACGTTAGTTAATTAATGTATATAATAGAGGGTGTCCATGGAAATATGTCCACGTGCTATTCTACTTCATGTCACGAAAGTTACACGAAAATGGCTGCTCCCTGTACTAACTCTGGGGAGTACCCAGAGTTTTTGCTTCTGGTGGAGATTACTCTCAAAGCAATATTTATGTCAGAATCAATTCTCGTGTCGCTGTGCTCTTCTCCTCTGACGCAAAAGAACTTGAATCGCCTTTTTAAAGCACTGCGGAAATCGCGCTTAAAAAACGCACAGATAACAGGATCAAGAATGGAGTTCAGCTCTAGCGTGTAAAACGAGATGAAAATCAGCTCATTAGTAACGAGTTGTGACTGGTCAGTGATCCAGCATATATTGATGTAAATCAGAGGAAGCCAACATAACAGGAACATGGCCAGTACTATTGCAAAGACTCGTGCCGCCTTTTCTTCGTTTCCAACTTGATAGCCGGTGGCGTTCCCTCTTGTCGACCGTCCCTTATTACGCAGAACAAAACGGTGGACGACACGCAACAAGCGCATGTAAACGCATACCATGGTAGTACAAGGGATAAATATAAACAAAGTTAACATGACGGAGAGGTAAACTTTGTGAACAGTGGCCTTGACATTTGTATTCCAAGCCAGTGGTAGAAGACTTAATAACAGCGGAAAAATCCAAGAACAGAAAATAATGACGCACACCTTCTGACAACTTATGATGGTACGGTAACGGAAGGGTCGCGTCAACGCAATATAACGTTCGTACGTTACACCGCACAGATTAAATACTGTTGCTAACAGGATAAACGCTACAAAGTAATCACCGATTACTGTCCTAGCGTAATAGTCGGTGATATACACGGGTACAAACACGAAGGCAACCAGAAGATCAGACACGGAAAGACTGACGACCAGATAATTCGTCATGTTGCGAAGTTTTTTGTCAGTGTATACCATAGCGCAGACGAGAATATTTAACCCAGCAGAAACAAGTCCTAGAAAAGCCCAAGAGATGATTAATATTAGAAAAGTTTGAGCGCTGACGGGTTCTGAAGTGTAACTGCGAATTTCAGTGACGGCGGTGCTCATGTTGCCCATCTTGAATGTTTTTTTTTTTACTGAAGTAATTTCTCTTTAGTCTCTCTTGTCACCTGCGTGTTAAAGTAAATTGCCCCAAGAGCAGCTAAGCCGTGCTTTTTTGGAAAACTTTTCTCTTGTTAAAGAGCCAGAGGCGAAATATTAATTTAAATCTTTTTGCTTTCGCCCTCAAAACGCCCAGTTCTTCGTTCGCCTTACTGTTTTGGATTTTATGTGATGCTCTCGCACTTTTAGCGAAATAAAATGCGGTTTTCCTTGAAGGATCATGAAATTAAACCTGTCTTGTTAAAATCCTTTTAATAATCTCTGGGTTTTTTCGTGCTTTGATGTTATTGGGTGAATCTTTAAAGACTTCCCTTTGTTTCGACATGGTGTTTAGTTTTGCAGATTAGCAACCTAGGCTTGTGAATTTTCATCGCTTAAGCAATTAAACAGGAGCGTTGTGGCCTCGAAACAACGTTGTCGGGTACCTACAAAGAATATGCAAAGCCAGTAAGAACTGGTCATACGTGCCATCCTTATCAGCAATAATGGAAATTTCACAAAAGTAATTGAAGCACTTCAAAAATTTGATTAGTAGCTTTCTTAAGAAACGGCAGATGAAAAAAAAAGTTATTTGAATTGCCTAGTTTTCTTTTTTTGGCAACAGAAGACATACAGAAGGCAAAATACAAAAGGAAGTATTTCAATCTTTTTTAAGCCAGTAAAATCCAAGGAATTACACATAAGTCTTCTTAAATACGCCACAAAGTGAGAAAATCCTGCCTTGAAAAATAAGACATGTGTCCGCTCCTTTGATTCATTAATAAACATAACTTAGGCCACGAGTCTTACATGTATTAACCAAACATATTTTTTCTGAATAATGACAGTTGAGAGATTCACTGCCTTTCAGTGTTGTTATTAGCGAGGAAATTTTCTCAGAGAAACAGTTTAGTGAATATATTAACCATGAGTGCAAAGGTTAAATCGAAAATCGAGCAAAAAGATAAAAAGAAGTAAAGCGAGAGAATTGAAAAGAAAAAAAAACAGAAGTTTATTCCCCAAACAAATTGCATGCATGCGTAGGCATATTTATTGAAACTTTCCTATAACAGGCTGTTAATGAACTAGTCGTGGCGCGCGTGTGCTTAAGAAGTGCTTTTAAAATGCGTTTCGTTGGCTTCGTAATTGCTTTCACACAATTGTAAGACATTTTAGATCAAATTTTGAAAATTATCACTCAGGAATTTGAATTACAAAGAGCTAGGCCTTGCTTAAGTACTACGACAAAGCACTGATTTTTACGCTTTTTAAGTCAGGCTAGATACGATGAATGTAAATAAAAAGAAAAACCATTTCTGTAAATAGAAGTATGTGCCGCATCACTGTCCCACCTCTCCCAACATTTAGCAATTAGAATGTTTAAAACTCAGCCTTATTCGATCATCAGGCTATCTTCCTTATAATTTTTCGGATTTATTTTTGAAAAAGTTCTTTCGTGCTGAATCGGATCGGAGCAGCCACAGCCGCTGTGACAGAGAACGTGGAACGTTGTTCTTTGTTACCAAATTTCAATAAATGTTCTCCGAAGTATGTTATCAGCGATTTTTCTTTCTTCATCCGGTAGTAAGACGACAGCAACCGGCTATGTGACTGAGTCTTTGGGTTGCCACCTAGAACTCTCCTTTTATTGACGTATTTTTGCACCGAAATTAAAAGACTTAAGGTTTTTTCTTCCCGATGACCTGACTTATCCCCATTTCTGATACATTCACACCATAACAATAAACTGCCAGCTGACCCGGTTACAGGTTCGAATTTGAATTTTTGATTCCTGCTTCTTTCAAAACTTACAGTGATATCAGTCGACTGTGTTTCCCTCTCTCTTCAAGCACGTTAGTGGAAATGACGTAATTGAAAACTGAGAGGAACCCTGTTTACATTAAACTTTACATTCGACATCCATAAACGCGGATGGGAGCCTGGGGCTGGTAACGTATGAGACCGGATCTATTAAGACTAAATTTCACTTATTTTCCTGTTACTAGGTGGCTTGCAAATATATTTAACCCATTCGCTCCGCAGATTTTGCCGAAAAACGCGTTTTGAAGCTAGTCGAGTGGTTTTCTGGTCACTGCCGTGCTATAGAGAGCTAAAACTTACCACAAACCGGTTTACAGGTCGTGCACTTCGCGGCCTTCTGATCCAGATGCAAAATATCAGCCTGCGAAGTTCGGGCATGCGCAGAAAGCCAAATTTCGAGATTTCTCTCCTCCCTCTTTCTTTGCTTTTCTTGCCTCATTTTTTTTTCTCTTGCTGGGCATTTAGTAGGCTTCGTTTCGGTGGGAAGAGTTTTTAGGAAAGCTTTTAGGATCTTAGGATTAGGTGAAATGAAAGGTAGGTGAGCAATGGAACAAGATTTTCATGGAGATTTTCAGGTCAATGATACATGGTTTTTTGCTTCTTTCTCCGGTATCTTTGACTAAATTGTGCTCATTCTGGTATGGTTTGAAAGATCTCTTCACTCTGCATAAGTTGGCGGACAAATTTGTCCTTGACCGTTAAAACTGATGACGTCACAAAGGGTAGAAAGGACGTGGATCCGCACGGGCGGTTACAGGCGGTTCAGGGGCGAATGGGTTAAGCAATAGAAAACGTTTTCCGTGTTTGCATAGCCTGATGTAAACACGAGAGGGGTTGGGAGAATTCGAGACAGTTATGCAAACCCGAGACGAAGTCGAGGGTTTGCATAACTGTCCAGAGTTCTTTCAACGCCTCGAGTGTTTATATCAGGCTATGCAAACACCGGAAAAAAGTTTTCTAATGCTTTATAAAATATCTTTCCTGAGAAAAAACGCAAAACCCTTTGTTATGGCACTGATTAAAAGAGAAATTCTTACCAGTCGCAAAGTCTTGTACACAAAGTCTTGCACGCTTAATCAGTTCTTGTTTTGAAAAAAGATGCTTTCCAAAATACGTATTTTTCTCCCTTAAAATGTCAGCTTAAGCAAAAAAAAAAAGGTTGAGTCAGCTTGTTTGTAAAGATTTTCCAAGTTTCAGCCGACGAAGGAATGGGTAAATAAAGTAAACTTGTCGAGTTTTGCTCACTAAAACTTTTTCAAATTCGTGCTTGCGTGATTAGCGCGCGAAAAGCAAAACATCGCACGTGGGTAGTACTTGGTGTAAGACTGCCCAAAATGTCCCTGGCCACCGCCCATTACTGTTAGTGCTGTAGTAGCTGTGCTATAGTAGACGCAGTAGTACTTATAGTACCCGTAGTAGCTGTAGTAGCTGTAGTACCTGTAGTACCTGTAGTGGCTGTAGTACCTGTAGTAGCTGTAGTAGCTGTAGTAGCTGTAGTACCTGTAGTAGCTGTAGTACCTGTAGTAGCTGTAGTAGCTGTAGTAGCTGTAGTAGCTGTAGTACCTGTAGTACCTGTAGTACCTGTAGTACCTGTAGTACCTGTAGTACCTGTAGTAGCTGTAGTACCTGTAGTACCTGTAGTACCTGTAGTAGGTGTAGTAGCTGTAGTAGCTGTAGTAGCTGTAGTACCTGTAGTATCTGTAGTACCAGTAGTGGCTGTAGTACCTGTAGTGGACGTCACAACCATGTTTACATACTCTCATGCAAACACTCCTTTCAGCCAATCAGAGCGCGCGTACTATCTTAGTTATTTTATAAATATGTATAGCTCAATAAAGTCTTTGTAGATCCATAGTAAAAACTATTCTCGGTTTGCACTGTCACGCAACGGAAAATAAAAATGCAAACCATTCATTACAGAAGGTCTAGAATCTGGGAAATGAAAGAAGATAAATATACAAAAAGCCTTGCCAAGAATCAGGTCTGTGCAGTATTTCAAATGCGAGATATTCGGAAAAACGTTTACCTAAATTTATAAAGCTTTGTATGGAAACGCCATGTTGGTGTCTCTTTCAGGGACACCAATATGGCCACCGGATACCAACAAAAACATCTGTTTTCGAGTTTTCCTTGGCTACTAATGCGTGAATTCTTCGCTTGAAGAACTCATAAAGATTAAAGTAATATTTATTCTGAGACAAGGAAGGTTTAGATAGCAAAATATCCCAAAATCGGTAATGTTTTTAACCCAAATAAGAGCTTTCCCGGCCACCAGCTAAATGTTTGTTATATAAAGGTGTTTAGGTGTTGTAATACCTCGTGAAAGTAGTTATTCTGAGACAAGGAAGGTTTAGATAGCAAAATATCCCAAAATCGGTAATGTTTTTAACCCAAATAAGAGCTTTCCCGGCCACCAGCTAAATGTTTGTTATATAAAGGTGTTTAGGTGTTGTAATACCTCGTGAAAGTAGTTATTCTGAGACAAGGAAGGTTTAGATAGCAAAATATCCCAAAATCGGTAATGTTTTTAACCCAAATAAGAGCTTTCCCGGCCACCAGCTAAATGTTTGTTATATAAAGGTGTTTAGGTGTTGTAATACCTCGTGAAAGTAGAAACTCAGAAGAATCGATAGTTTCTTAGTTTGATTTTTGGTGACGTCACATGCAAACCAGGAATTGAATGGAGACTGACTTCTACCCCCTGACATCTCAGATTATGCTTGAATGGTTTGAACCAAGGCTAGGAGTTAGGTAATATTTTTTGAATGTGATCGCCCAGTGAGTGTGAGTGTGAACCCTGTACCATCGGCTCGACGCGACTACACCTAACCACTACACCACAGAGACTGATGACATAAGTCGGCGAAAAGTCTTTAATTTAATGCCTTTTCCATGAAACTTCCGCCGGCAAGATGATTGCCAGCCACATTAATGGAGCTATTAACAGTCAAAAAACAATGTAAACGCGCATTCCATGGCAATGAATGAATGAAAGAACATAATTATGCTTTTCAAAACACCGATACACGTCCTCTTCTGCAGCGTAGGACACAAAACATATGTTTTGTTATCTCGATTTCCGCTGTTGTTTTGAAGGGAATGGTCAAAAATCACATCCATTTTCGGCTAATACAGGTTCTTAAGAATAGCATGGC